CTTGATGACCTCATTTGGAGGTGCTAAGGAGATAACTAGCTCGCTGGGACACAGGCTCACTCTTGGTGAGGCACGCTTGCTGACAAGACACATGGAGCTACACTAGAGCCCATGGAGACCCCTGGCAGCGCTGAGATGTCTCTATTGTCACTGGATCCACAAGGCTTTCCACCCAATGGCCTGTGATCTTCCTGCATTTGGTGTTATTGCATGTTTCATGAGTCTGAAGAATAATTTATAGATTAGTATCTGACATATAGGCTAATATTGAATTTATAGACTTGATCTGGACTAGGCTGGGACATCTTCTCAATTTCCAATTATTCTTGTACATACAACTCTTTCTTACACACATATGAGTGTCTATGAATTTGTTTCTCTAGTCTACCCAGACTAACACAGGGGCTCTAACAGCTCTTATAATAATCCATACATCCATTGTGTCAAGCACATTGTGCATATGTTGCCATCATCCTTTTCAAAACATTTTCTTTCTACTTGAATCCTTGGTATTAGCTCCTTATTTTTCCCTCCCTCATGAACCCTTGGTAATTTATAAATTATTATTTTCATATCTTACACTAATCGCTGTCTCCCTTCACCCACATTTCTGTTGTTAATCCTCCGGAGGGAGTGGGGGGCAGTTATACATTGATCAGTGTGATCAGTTCCTCCTTTCTCCCCACACCTTCCCCTTACCCTCATGGTAACGCTATTCCCATTATTGTTCCTTGAGGAGTTTATCTGTCCTGAATTCCCTGTGTTGAGAGCTCTTATCTGTACCAGTGTATATGCTCTGGTCTGGCAGGATTTTTAAGGTAAAATTGGGGTCATGATAGTGGGGGGAGGAAGCATTACAGAACTAGAGGAAAGTTGTATGTTTCATCAGTGCTATACTGCACCCTGACGGACTTTTCTCTTCCTTGTGACCTTTCTGAGAGAGGATGTCCAATTGTCTACAGATGGGCTTTGGGTCTCCACTCCACACACACCCTCCCCCCATCATTCCCATCAATATGATAGTTTGTTCTGGGTCTTCTGATGCCTTAGACTTGATCCCATCAATGCATAATGATCACACAAGCTGGTGTGCTTCTTCCATGTGGGCTTTGTTGCTTCCCAGGTAGATGGCCGCTTGTTTTTCTCTAAGCCTTTAAGACCCCAGAGACTATCTCTTTTAATAGTCAGGCACCATCAGCTTTCTTCACCACATTTGTTTATGAACCACTTTGTCTTCAGCAATCCTGTCAGGAAGGTGAGCATCACAGAATGCCAGGTTATTAGAAAAAAGTTTTCTTGCATTGACGGAATACTTGAGTAGAGGCCCAATATCTGTCTGCTACCTTAATATTAACATATAATATATGTACATAGATCTATGTCCCTATTGCTATAAATATATTTACATATGTACGTGCCTGTATTTATACCTCCATAAATGTCCTTTGTCTCCTAGTTCTTTCCTCTATTGCCTTTTACTTTCCTCTTGTCCCACTATCATATTTGACCTTCATTCATCTTTCATTAATTCCTCTTGGTTACATTGCACTTGATCAAACCCCACCAGGCATGCGATGCCCTCCTCACCATTGATTTTAGATCACTTGTTGTTCCCTTGTCCCTGAGTTTATTGAATCTCCCCTTCTTTTCCCCCACCTCCCCCTCTCCCATGTCCCCCCAGAAGCATCAATCCCATTGTTTTCTCCTCAGGATTATTTATCCTGCCTATCTTATCTAGATAGACATGAAAACAAACAAAATTTTTTTATTTTTTTAAAACATTTTATTAGGGGCTCATACAACTGTTATCGCAATCCATACACACATCAATTGTGTAAAGCGCATTTGTACATCG